GAGCCCAATGCAGGACTTGATCCTGGAACTCCAGGATCATGACCTGAGCCGAAGGCAGTCGCTTAACCAACTGAGCCACCCAGGCGCCCTCTTATAATGTCTTTATCTGATTTTGGTATTAGGGTAATCCTGGCCTCCTAGAATGAGTTAGAAAGGATCTCCTCTATTTCTCTTCTTAAAGAGAACGTGGAGAATTGATATAATTTTTCCTAAATGGTTGGTAGAATTTATCAGTGAACCCATTTGAGCCTGGTGCTTTCTGTTTTGGAAGGTTATTAATTATTGATTCAATTTCTTTAATAGATTTAGCCTTATTTAGATTTCCTAATTACATTTGTCTATTATGAAAGTTGCATTTTATTTCTCTCAGAAACATAAAATTCACAGATTTATTATCTATCAATATGTGGCATACTTGTTTTCTAAAAGTCAAGTAATGTAGTATATGTCGTATTTATTAGCTATATGTCTAATTCATTATTTCTAAGGCAGGCAAATAATAGAGAATCTTTAAAAGTCCATATTCTATAAAAGGTTCAGGAAAATTTAAAATTATAATGTTTAAAATTAAGACATTTAACCATTTAAAAAATTATTTCAGCATTTATCTTCATGATTCCCGAATTAAAAAATACCCAGGTATTTCTCATTGTTTCCTACCAGTATTTGAAATATTTTATTTTTTAGGTAAAGTTTCCTGTGACTGCCCTTACACAGTCTGCTGTTATTGTGAGTGTAAATAAGATCTATGCAATGACGACTATGAAGTATAAAAATGTCTGTTCAGAAACAAGAAATGCTTTCTCCTCATGTTTTTATCAAAAACTCATGTTAGGGGCGCCTGGGTGGTTCAGCCGGTTGGGTATCCAACTCTTGGTTTAGGCTCCGGTCATGGTCTTGGGGTCGTGAGATCTAAGCTCCAGTCATGGTCTTGGGGTTGTGAGATCCAGCCCCAGACTGGGCTCTGCATTCAGCAGAGAGTCTGCTTCTCTCCCTCTCCCTCTGCCCCTCCCCCGGCTCACACACACACTCTCTCTCAAACGGATAAATCTTTAAAAAGGGGGGGGGGTGCCTGGGTGGCTCAGTCATTAAGCATCTGCCTTCGGCTCAGGTCATGGTCCCAGGGTCCTGGAATCAAGCCCCGCACTGGGCTCCCTGCTCAGCGGGAAGCCTGCTTCTCCCTCTCCCGCTCCCCCTGCCTGTGTTTCCTCTCTCCCTGTGTCTCTTTTTTAAAATCTAAAAAAAAAAAAAAACCCAAATTACACTCTAATATTTAGAAATAGCTCATGAGGGAAATTCATTTGAAAATTATATCTACATGGGCAAAACAGTGTAACTGCCTACTTATTCCAAGCAAAAATTCTATCCTCTAGATAAACACACACACACACACACGCATAAACTATATATAACAATTAATTCCTTAGGTGTATTTAACTATTTAAAGGAGTTAACAGTAAACTGAGTCAAGTTAGGAATAAAGTTTAAAAAATATTAGAATAAAAAGTAAATAAAAACCATGCTGGCACACTGCCACCATGAAAAGAAGCTAGACTACCCTGAGAGACTATGCAAAGAGAGAAAGGCCAAAGCAGCATCTGCTGAGGGTGCAGCCATCTTGGATGTTCCAGCCCCTGTCAGGTAACCCCAGCAGATAGCATAGGAACAGAACAACTGCACGGTTAAGCCTAACCAATCTAAGAATTATAATAATAAATTGTTGTTTTAAGACATCAGATTTGGGTGCCTGGGTGGCTCAGTTGGTTAAGCAGACTGCCTTCGGCTCAGGTCATGATCCTGGAGTCCCAGGATCGAGTCCCGCATCGGGCTCCCTGCTCAGCAGGGAGTCTGCTTCTCCCTCTGACCCTCCCCCCTCTCATGTGCTCTCTCTCTCATTCTCTCTCTTTCAAATAAATAAATATATCTTTATAAAAAAAAGACATCAGATTTAGTGACGATTTGTTATACAGCAATAAATAGCAACACAGAAACATAGGAAAATATCTTCATAACTTGATTTAATACAGATTTCTTAAATATGTAGTCAAATTTATTAATGGGAATTATTCTTCCAACCCTTTTGTATTATCCATTAATTGCTAACTCAATAATTATTTCTAGAAAGCTGGCTAATAGTTTTCAGTATTTTCCTGCTATTTACATTTTTGGTAAACGAAATTCATTTGGTGTTTCATTTTTCAATGTTACATGTTATGATAAAGTAAAGTCCCATTTAGTACCGTGTAGAGTAGACTTCCAATGGTTTTCAATAAAAAAGCCTACTTTAGAATTTAAAATCTGCCTGTATTGTTTCTTACAATAGTCAGGCAAGGCTTGGTTAACCACTATGAGTAGGGCAGGCTGGACAGGACCAAGGCAAGTAAAGGCAGTTGTAGGAAGAACAGAACCTGGGAGAAAGTCTAGAAGCCAGCAGGCAAAACACCAAAGCCAACAGCTGGGCAACAGAGAAATGATCCAACAAAGCTGCTGCCATTAGGAATATTTTGTCTTTTGAAGATTTATTTATTTATTTGAGAGAGAGTGCACACATGCGAGTGGGGGAGGGTAAGAGGGAGAGAATCCTCAAGCAGACTCCACGCTGAGCTTAGAGCGGGACACAGGGCTCAACCCCAGGACCCCGAAATCATGATCTCAGCCGAAATCAAAGGCCAGCCGCTTAACCAACTGAGCCACCCAGGCACTCCATCAGGAATGTTTCTTACCAGGTGGTGAATCAGAGAAACAGGAAATCAGGGTAGGTGGCTAACAAAATCAGACAAATTCAGTCAGCAAAAAGGCCCAGGATATTTGTCCAGAGCTCAGTGGTAGTTGAAAGGGGAAGAAGTACTAGCGACAAAAAGGCAAAGCCCAAACCTGGAGGGCTTACTAAACCAGGGGTTGGAGACAAAGGATAAAGCCACAAGATCACAGTGAGATGAACATTAGGTGCAACTTGATGGTGAGGAATAAAACACCAGCCTGGTCATGGGGACAGGGTATAGGGAGTTATTATTTCATGTGTAGAGTTTCAGCTGGGGAAGAGAAGAAGCTATGTAGACAGATATACAACAGTATAAATGTACTTAATGCCATAAAACTGTATACTTTAAAATAGTCAATTTTATGTTATACATATTTTACTACAATAAAAAGAAAATTTTCAAAAATGTGGGAAAAATGTTTTCTAGCATCACTGATCAAAAATATTCTAGCATCACTGATCAAAAATATTCGGTCTCCCTAAAAAACTTTTTAGGGAAAAAAATTTCCCTAAAAAACTTCCTATGATCCTCTAAATCACCACTGTACAAAGAATAGTCTATAGATTGAACTTCCAACAAGAAATTACAGCTAACTCTTGAACATGGGAAATAAGGTAGTGACCCCCGTGCAGGTGAAAATCTGCATTAACCTTTTGACTCCCCAGAAACTTAACTATTTATAGCCTACTCTTGACCAGCTTCCTTACCAATAATGTAAATGGTTAACTAACACATATTTTGTATGTTATACATATTATATGCTGTATTTTTACAATAAAGTAAGCTAGAGAAAAAAATGCTAATAAGAAAATCATAAGGAAGAGAAAATACATTTACAGTGCTGTATTGTATTTATTTTTTAAAAATTCACATATAAGTGGACCTGCACAGTTCAAACCCACGTTGCTTAAAGGTCAAATATAATTCAAATGTGAATGCATTTATTCATAGCAAGAATAAGCAGGAGACAGGGTTTGCATGAGAATCAAGTTTAATACAGCCATGTTTAACTGTGTAAATACACAAACATACATATATACATATACACACACATTTAGGGGGCATATACTTTATTATCTAAAATATTTAAGTAATATATTTGACCCTCCCCCCATAAAAGTCTCTGGCCTGAACTGAAACTCCTTTTACCCATTTCCTTGGAGCTGGGACCAGGAGCCTGGGTATGGGGGATTAGCCACTCAACACAGAGAGGAAAGGCTGCACAGCAAGGACCAAAAGGGAACACCACCACCCATGACATAAAATGCAGATAAAGTCAGTCATGTATTGTTAATTTAAGAATCAGAGCCACATTCACTGCCTAGTTATAGCTGGCTGAAGCTAACACTGAAATGAATTTGTAGGTCTGCAAAGTAGGTAGTGTTGTGCCTAAAAACTATATGAATTAATTAATTTCTGGAAGGAAGCTTCTATGAATAAAAAATGTTAAGTAAAGGTCATCTAGAAGTAAAATATTGCTTCAGGTAATTAGGCGTTCTTGCAAGGTACTTTAAAAACACTGTAATTTATATTATTTGGAAGTTGGACTTTTGACAGATCCACCCTCTAAAATATAGCCACTGAACACAGAAGCATGATTACCCCATCCAAATACAACTTATCATAAAGCCTCTATACTCAAACTCTTTAATAACCCTTCCTTACGTAACAGAGACTTCACAGTAACCTAGTTGTCTGATTTCTCAGCTCAGAAAAAATTAGAAGGAATAGCTGACAGATGCAAGCCTAACAACATGGAAGAGGTGATAACTGACAGCCTGACCTCTACAAAAGACAAAGAAACAGACTCTGGACTGTGTTGAGTCACAGTTCAACAAGAAGTGTAACAGTAATCCTAAACCCTCAGGGAAGGGTTAATCTAAACCGTGTAGCCTTTGTTCAGCCGATGTAGGGAGCCCTTGACGTATGGAAGGAAAGATTTAATAAAAATTACAAGAAAAGAAAAGGAGTTCTGGTATCTCACATAATAAACCTCAGTTAGATTAAATACTCATCCCTGAGAACACCTTATTTCCTAACCAATGTCAAATAAAGGAGCCACTGCCTTATTTTCAAGTTTTTCTTCCTAAAAGAAACTATTTCAATGTTACCAAAGATTGTCTGCTAAAAAAAACTAATGTACTCTCCTCCGAAATCCCTTACCAAATATTTGAAGGATGTGTATGAGGGGCAGCTTGTGTTTGTTCTTCTTTGTCTTCTGTTTTCTGTTTCCTTTAGGCCTATTTGCAGGCAAAGGGCCAGGAAACCGTTGCTGTGATTACTCAAAAGAGCCCAACTCAAGAACACTGCTCATGAATTCTTGATGGTGGAACCAGGGGTCTACAAACTTTTAAGGTGAGACTATTTCTTCATTTGTTGTACCCCTCTACCATTTTTCCTTATCAAGCAATCATCAGAATCAATTGTTTACTTGTCATTCCGTGTAAAATCATTTTATTCACTTATATGTTATGCTTCTTATTCCCAGATTTGTACTTTGTCTTGGCTGACTAAAATGATCCTTGAATAGACAGTTTGTTATTAACAATCAACACCCATGCAATCAATTCAAGTTAGCCTGTGTAATCTAACTTAGGGGAAAGACAGAAGGGAGGAAAGAAGAAAAGAGAAAGGAGAAACTTTTGGTTTATGCTTCACAGAAATACTAAAATTACTTCAAATCAGCCAAAGTGAATCATCTGTCTACCAGCATGCCTCCTATTGCATATGGCCTATTTATAACTAAGAGAAAAGTAACTAATGCAGGAAATAGTTTTGTGTTATAAACTGCATAATTTTATTGTTTTAATAATGAAATTAAGACTGACATAATTTGCTTTCTTTCCTATGAACTTCTTATAATTATAACTGGAAGAGAAACATCAAGTGGTGTCCACAGCTAGCTGACTATTCACATGAAGACTGATGAAGAATATATTTCATTTTAAATACATGTCATTTCACAAGTTCTATGATTAAATATTTACACTAGCTTTCCTCAGTCAAAAATAAATGAACCGAATGAACTTCTGTTTGATCCTCTCTTCCACAGGATAAATTTCCCTTTCTCTAGTACTTTTAGAGAGCGTATTTTGGCAAGGGTGTGTTGAGGAGTGGGGCAGATGTTGGGATGGGGAACACTTGCTTTGTTCCAAGAGCAGCCATATTCTGGCCTTTGGCAATTTTAGCAATCTGCAGTCCTGCCCACCTTCCGGAAGCCTGGGCACCTGGGCACCCAGCTCCAGGGGGATTAGCTTTCACTACACTGGACTCCTCAATCAAACAACTGACCCACAACGCCCTAGAGTTCACCATCTTGCAACACAAAGCTTGAATATACGAACAACCTCCTATTATTTATTGGTAAGTAATGCACAGAGAAACTTGAAATTACATGAAAATGAAATCCGGAGTGAGAATCTACAAATCCATACATTTTATGAGGTTAGTATTTTAATTTTCAAGAACAAAGTCATTGCAGAGGTTTTGATTATTGTTAAAATTAATGGGACTGAAGGTCAGTCACAGGTAAAATTTGTCTTAAAGGCAGAAGTTTGGCAAATAATTCTGGTTCAGTTAAAAGTACTTTGAACATCACGTGTCAAAATAGTTTGAACACAACTTAAATTTAATACCAAAAGGTCTCAAGTAGTTAATCAGAAATGAGAGGCACACACTACATTTTATACTGTTTTCAGTTTGCTGACACAACATCATTCTGTGCTCTCTAGTGAGCAAGAGTAATCCTCAATGGCATTAAGATGAGAGGCTGAGCATGAAACCACAGGCAAGTCAAGTAATGATTTTATTCTTTTTGTCATTTCTCTTTCAAGTGGAAGATTCCTAACACTCTCTGCTTCTGACAATGTTTATAAACAGAACTCTGAGAAGCATCTGAAATGCAAAAATACCAGGTCTTTCCTACAAAGTGTGATAGACAGTCAGCCAGCTGAGTCTCCATCCTGCAGACACAGATTTGGAAGCACTTTTAAGAACTAGTTTCCACAAAAATAAAACTCAAAAATTGACCAAATTGCTACTTTGATCTCCATCAAAGAAAAACAATATATAACTTAAGATTTACCATAATCAGCTATACTAACAACTCTGTTCTGGGAAAATTTAGAAAACATGAACACTGGAAGAACAGGGTTCAATCGGATACATGCATTAGGCTAAAACCTTTGCCATGGTAGCATGTCATTTTAACAGATACTCTACTCCTTGTAACATACCTTATAATCTACAATTAAAGGCAGTCTCTTTTATGGCTTATAATAAAAGAATGTAGCTGTCAGATTCAAGATGACACAACCCTTCATCTCTTACTCCCTAAAATTTCCCATGAATTTTAAAATTCTTCTTTCACTTAATATCTACAGTTCTGATAGCCTTTTTGAGAGGGATCCTAAGTCTCTGAGAGTGAACTGCTAAATTAAAGCATAACCCTAGTGCTTAGTGGGTGAACAGAGTTCAGTAACAGAGCTACATAATTCATCCTTCTAAAAGTAAGCCTTCCAGGGCGCCTGGGTGGCTCAGTCGGTTGAGCATCCGACTCTTGATTTTGGCTCAGATCATGATCTCAGGGTGGGATCAAGCCCCTTGTCGGGCTCCATGCTCAGTGGGGAGTCTGCTTCTCTCCTCCCTCTGCCGCTCCCCCCACTCTCACTCTCAATAAATCTTTAAAAAAAAAAATAAAGTAAGCATTCTCCCCTCATCCAATGAAAAAATACTACTAATTTTTCCTTGTAATATTATCAAGTGTGGAGGTCTACTATGTGATAATAATACATATTCAATCCATTTGCTTGTTTTTTTAAAGGTTGACTTATTTTCTTCCCATGGCAAAACATACTATACTGCAAAATCAGCAATGTTGCAATTAATAATTTATAAATCATTGGCTGTTCTGTACATTTTGACACCTTCCTAACAGGGATTTAAGATAATAGACTTTAAATTAACCACATTGCTAGATAAATACCATAACAAAATAATAACAAACATAAAAGTGGAATTGTAATCTGAGGACACATTTCAGTCAGTTTATTGCTTCCCTTGTTAATCTTTCACCTTCTAAAATGCATTTTATAACTAAAAGTGAGAAAGAACTCACATTAACAACTCTCTACTTTGTGACACTTAACTTTTATAGAACATGTTTATTCCCCATACTCTGTCCTGCTCCCTACCATACCTCTAATACAGGAGTTCAGCTGAGAAAATTTTGCCTCTGAGCGGACTACGAAGCCTGTGTGGACAGCATCCCAATACCCTGTGAGTTTCTGTCTGAGAGGTGCAGTGTCATGCCTCACGCGGTTTGCCCAGCTGCAGCTCTTCACAAAGATGAAGCACACACAATACTGCCTCCACTTTTCTTCCCAAGTGGTGTCAGTCCTCCAACATGCAGACTCCCTTATGGCATTGCTCCAGGGCTGTCCAGGCATAAAATGTCAAGGGAGGCCCTTTCTCCCAGGCAGACACAAAAGGACACCTATTCAACTGACGGATAACAGACACCCATTGCAAGGTGCTGTGCTCAGCACACAGGGAGTGTAGGTTGAAATGGACACTGAGTGTGGACAAGCAAGGGATACAGAAACATAAACAGGTAACAGAAGTCAGCACACATCATTAGAGCGATAAAACTCTATTAGAATTCTGAGGAGCTGGCAAGATCAGAGAAGGGACCATGAAAGAGATGACAGATGAAAAAGACCCTCCAAAGGATGGGTAGGAATCGGAGATGCAAATAAAATACACTCTAAATAGGTGAGCAAAGAGGAGACACCACAGCATGAGGCTGGCAAGTGTATAATATCTGCTCATTCTGTCAATTTGTATCTCAAACTTATTCTACTCCATATCCTAAAGTGATTCATATCTAAAAATCACTCTGTCCACAAATGTTTACTGAACATTACACAGTCACGGGCACTATTCCAGGTGCTGAGGATGCACTGTGAATAAGACTGCTCTCATGGACCTTACTTTCCAGTGGAGGAGATGAACAAACAGATCCACAAATAATATAAAAGTCAGTGTCAGATAGTGATAAGTATAAAGAAGAAAAATAAATCAGGGTGAGGGCACAGTGACTTAGGGGGATTTCTATGAGGGTCATCAATGAGGTGGTATGTGAGCAAAGACCTGAATCAAGTGAGAAAATAAATGATTCAAATAGAGGAAAGATGTAGGGAAAGCATGTGCAAAGGCCCTGAGGCAGAACACTTTGGCATTATCTAAGACTAGCAAGGAGACCCGTGTGTCTAAAGTAGAATAAGTGAAGCAGAGAAGAGGTAGGAAATACTTCTGGAAAGGTAAGTGAGGTGAGAATGAGTATTTCTCAATAAGAGCACTATTGTCCTTTGGGACAGGATAATGTGATCTTGTTTCCGTTCAGCATCATGGTCCTTGAGGCACCAAATACCAACAGCACCATCCTTGTAACAATAGAAGAAACCATCACTTATTTCTAAACACTCCTACAGGTGACAAAAAGGGAGCAGTATCTCCCACTGAGAACCACTGAGTCAGATCCTACGTGGCTCTGTTGTCATAAATAGTTGATATGATTTTGTTGAGTGTAAGTGAGAAGCCACTAGAGAGTTGGGAACATAGGAAATAGCATGTTGTCTCTTTTTATAGAGCTATGATTTGAATTTCAAGTTGAAAAGATGTCTTTGTCTACTGTATAAAAAAGTGAGTCTAGGAGACCAAAGTAGCTCCATGGTAACCAGGTACAAGACTACTACAGTCATCCAGGAGATTATGACAGCTTGGACTGGGGTCATTATCGTGGAGATGCCGAAAAGTAGCAAGATCAGGGGCACTTTGTTGACACCGGAATCTGCCTGATGTGGCTTCACCCAGTTGAAGCAGAATACTGAAGAGGGGAAGTCAAAGATGAGGTTGAAGTGGGAAACTGAGACGAGATCACTGAGACCTAGAGAGCTAGCCCAAGATACGCAGTCTCATTCTGTAGGCAACAGAGTGCCAAAGAAGTGCTCCATGCTTTCCACAGAGTAATCCAATAGCAGTGTACAGACTAAATGGGAAAAGGAGAAACTGAAAAGAAGGAGACCAGTCAGAGAGTGAGGCCAGCTCCAGCAGCCTTAGGGGTAAAGGGAGCAGGCTCTGCACTGGTGAATCCAAAAGACATCACAGAGACAAAGGCAGTGATAGTTAATGACTGGCTGACCCTCAGATTTCACTCTGGGTGACAGAGGGATGACAGGGCCATGAATAAAGCTGGGCATGATGGAGAGAGAGGAGAGGGTTTCAGAAGAAAAGGAATTATGTCCAGCATCAGCTTCAGATATATTGGGTTTGAGTGCTAACCAACCTCACAAGTAGGAAAGTCAGGTGACTATGTGGGACCAGAGCTCAAGCACCAGTTAGGACTGGAGATCACTATTTGGAAGTCATCAGCAAGATGGTGACCACTAAAGTCACAAGTCTGAAACAGCACCACCACCAGAGAGAAGGTCGGCAGAGGAAACCGTGGGTACAGAATGTGGTGATAAGAGAAAAGCAAGATGCGGTTTCAAGAACGCAGCTGTGTACAACAAGGTCGAATGCACGGATGTAAAGGGGGGATAAAGACTGAGAAAAAGCCAAAGGGTTTTGTGACGAACAAGAGTCAGGAACTGCCAAGAGTGCAGTTTCGTCGAGAGAGAGAGAAAGTGACTGCAAAGTGCTAACGAAAGTGAGTCAGTCTAGGAAACACAGATGAGAGTACACTATTTGTCAAGGTGTGGTTATAAAAGGAAGGACATGAGGGGTGGCACCTTGAGCAGGGTTGAGAGGAGACTGTGTGAGTGCACGTGTGTGTATGTGTCTTAGAATTAAGTTAAGGAACTTAAAGAGAAGAATTCCAGTGCAAAGGGAGAGACTAAAATTGCAGGATGACCATCTACTAAGGAACAAGATAACAGAAGTGGGCAGAGAGGCAGCCTCGGAGAGGAGAAGGGACAGTTCTTCCTCGGCAAACAGGGGAAAACAGTCAGGCCTGTGACCCATGGTGGCCGCCACGTTGCTGACAGCCCCTCTGCATGTAACAGACTGGTGTTAACAGTATGTGAAACTCTGAGATGACTGATGAGAAAAGGAATAAAGCTGCAGATAGCAACACACTTCCAATAATCACTCCAGAAGAATCAATATTCTGACTAATGCCATTATTCTAGTTAATGTCGTGACATCAGAACAACCAAATGTTGTGACTCACAGTTTGTCTCTTTTGTTTAGTGTACTTGACGTGAATGAAAGAGGTGGGTGGTTAAGTATCTTTGGTAAATGAATGAAGAATAACCTTCCAGACAATGCTTAGCATGCTATACATAAAACAGGATATTTTGTTTCTGAAATTCATTTAAAACTCCTACTTGGTTTGTCTTTCTCAATCACTTGACATTTACAATCCAGTTTCAAATTCATAAATCAAAAAATTCTTTTTACTGTAGTTGTGCCTATACATCAAGTTTTTTCCTAGTCACCATAATACCACCATTCCATAGCACTGAAAAGCAAAATATACAGAGTGCTATAATGAGAAAAAATCTGATGGAGCTTAATTAAAAAAGGAGCAGGAAAGAACAGAATACAAAGATAAGCTAAGTAATTAATGAGATAATCAATCATAGCTCATGCTAACCTGATTTAACTACCCCTCCCCCCAAAAACAAAAGTACAGAAAAAGCACAAGCCAGAAGCAACTGTCCTTAGATCCGGAGCTTTTTAAGTAATTGGCCATGATGTACCATCAATTTTATAGGAAACTTCTGGAGATAGTGAAAATGTATCTTTGTAAATATATTTTATACATTTTGCCAAAATTACCAGTGAAGCTAATAATAATTATGAATGGGTGACATCCTGAATGAGTTAAAACAGCATTAATTACCCCAATTCTAAACCTAAGTTGTACTCCCTCAATTACCAAACTAGTTTTAAAAACACATAAAAAATGAACTGAGAGTTCAGTTAATTCCAATTACAAAATAACAATAGGAAGAAATTAAAAATTCACCAGACTGTATCATCAATCAATAACTTATTTTCAAAGAACTCTTCATTTATTAAACACTAAAAAGATCTGACATGGCAGATGATAAACAAACTACTCCCTATTTCACAAATTTTTAAAATGTTCCTGTTGAAAAAACTGTATCTGTCACCAAATATTTCATCTTTCACTGATAGGTACACAGCAAAATGATTCATGGAGATCATCAAAAGTATGTGGTTTTCTTAACAGGTGTCAGGTGTCAAGTTGGAATTTAGGCTCTACAACTTGTAATGGAGCCCAGAGCAGCATAATGTTTCTTCCTAAATCTGAATTAGCATTTTATATTCTGAAACAACATTTGGCAAGGGTAGCTGGGATCCCTGGGTGTTCCATAACATTCATGCATTACTTATTTTACTATACTCCCATATTAATCTATAATTACTCTGTGTGCCTTTCTCTACCAGTAGACTGGAAACAACTCGAGAGTAGAGAAACCATATCCCCAAGAAGGAGAACATGCCACCGAGATAAATCCAGCCACCTTTAAGAAGTATGTCAAAGGGCAATGGGATGGCTACCATACAATCTCCCACTGGAAACACACCGTCTCTGGATACTTGAGCAGAATCTAATTGCATCCCCAAATACCTCATATCAGAAAATTCTTAAGGAAAACTTTGAAAAAATAATGCCACAAGAGTGAATGAAGGGAACTCCATAAATTCTGGAGTCATAAAGTGATTCTGAATCGCAAATGCCTGATGTGAACTTTATTAATCCTATAAAAGTAACATAATGCATTCCAATTTTAATCTTCAATTAAGTTGTTTCACTACTCTACTTTTCAAACCGTTTCCCTGAGCAGTAAGCACTTCGTCATTGTTCGTCATTGAATACATATATACTCTAAATGTGTATCTTCTAAAACTCTGCCCTAGAAAATACAGGTTATAAAATCAAGTGGTCTTCAAACACAGGGAGCCACCCAAACAGATTACAGTATACATATGCACTAGCTTCCTATGTTTGCTGTTAACAAATTACTGCAAACTTCATGGACTAAAATAACACAAATTTATTAAATTACAGTTCTGGAGGTCCAAAGTCTAAAATGGGTCTCAATGGGCTAAAATCAAGGTGTCGGCAGGACTCCATTCCTTCCTGGAGGCCTCAGGGAAGAATCCATTTTCTTGCCTTTCCCAGCTTTAGAGGTTGCCCACATTCTTTGGCTCACAGGCCCTTCTTCCATCTTCCAAGCTAGTAGCAGAGCACTGAGTCTTTCTCAACTAGCATTAACTCTGCTTCCCTCTCCCTCTTCTAAAGGCCCTTGTGATTACATTGGGCCCACCTGGATAATCTAGGATCTTCTCATCTCAAAGTCAGCTGATTAACCATCTTAATTCCCCTTTGCCAGGCAGGACATATTCACAGGTTCCAGGGATTAGGATGTGGACATCTTTGGGGGAGAGGGGCATTATCCTGCCTGCCACAATTTGTAATCATCCATTAATACACATACCATTTTACCTTTTTATACCAACACACAGACATACACCATATCCACAACACACACAAAATTCTTTAGATTTCTGTTCTACTTTATGAATTCTAGACTAACTCTGCTAAATAGTTCCACAAACATCTATAGCTTTGTAGTGTTAAAATTTTATCAAAAAAAGAATGTTCTTGAAAGGAATATCAGATGGTTTAAAGAGTGTAAACCAGAAAATATCTTTGATTAGAATATAGGATAGCAAAAGCACAATAACCCCAACAAATAACCCTTTTAGGTTCACAAAGTTTAATATCTACTACGATCTCATTTTAGGCTTATTCTAGAAAAGGTCCTAAGGCACCTGTCCCTAGTTGTAATTCATTCTGCTATGTTGACCTATGGCTACACTTCTGTTAAGTTAATTTTACTTTATCTCAAAAGAGTGAGGTTTTCCAGAAATTCTCACGGTCTCCATTCAGTTAACCAAAGATATCTGAACTCCTTCTCAACTGTCAGTGCTTTCCAATAAAAATAAATCATGGCATTTTAATTCCAACTTTAGTTGTGGGAAAATGGACTCATCTTTATAATTCTATTAAGTGAAGAGACTTACATAAAATGGTTAAAGTATTTGAATTTAATTAAGAATGGTTCTTTTGTCATATTCAAATCAATTCTCTAATACTTCTGTTGGCCACTTTTTAAAAAATTTTTATTATTGAAGCACAGTTGACATACAATGTTATACCAGTTTCAGGTATACAACATAGCCACTTTCTTTAGAGAGGATCAAAGGAACAATTTCTGAATCTTCAAAACAGCAATTTAAATAGTAATAGTCTATTCTAAAATACATGACTTTTTTGTGGCCCAAACTGTGTTACATGAACACTTGGTAATGTAAATCAGTATACCTCTAAAAAACAAAACAAAACAAAACAAAAAACCCTATTCTGTGATCATATATATTTTGTACATGGATTTAGAAAAGTTTGTATGCCATGGCCCCCCTTTGGGAGGGTCACAATGCACATTAACTTTTTAAAACTCTCAAGTCCCAAAACACTGAAACATCTAACTTTGTTCAACCCGCTTTCAGAAAGTTTTCATAACACTATTATAAATATCCTGGGCTGAGGCAGGAAAGTGAGAAGAGAATACTGATGTAGAGAATATCTCCACAGAATATTACTTATTGAGCACTCAGAGCATTCTCAACACAACTGGGAACAAAACCAACCCCAGTTTAGCTCATGAGAGTTTATGAAATATATGTATAAATGTTAAATGTAGAATCAATGCCAAATTGCAACTATGATTAAGATTTACTTGAAACAACACAACTACAAAAATGTATTGCAGCCTCTAATTGTATTTATATGGATAGGTCATTTAAAAGAAATAATGTTTAACTCAGCATGACTTTAAATGATCGAAGTCTAAACAGACCATACCATGTTTATAAATAATCAAAATCTATCTCCTTCAAAATGCTGGCCCTCAAATAGAGCCACGGATGTTCCATCCACTCCATATATGCAACAGATTCAGAAAAGGCACTTCAAAGGTTTTTTTTTCCCTCATTTAGTGAGTTAATAAAAAATTAAAATAAATGAGGTTAATTTTAAAGGGATAGGAAATTTCTTTCAAATGGTTTTCACCTTGTTTTTCAATAAAATTTTAGAATTATTTCAATCTAAAATAAAATATCAACTTTAAGCTTAAAATGTTAAGTATTAACTACTCAAATATTACCGACTCCTCTTTTTTAAAAACTCTATAAAAATGGGATTACAATACATGAGACTCCATAGTTGAAAAACAATGTCTTTGATCATTGAGTGTCCTAATCCTGTGGGATGATAAGATACAGCATGAAGACCACAGGCTCTGGGGCTTGGGGTGAGATCCGGTTCTACCTCGCAGCAGCTATGGGCCCTAGGCTTCCTTACTCTCTCTGTGCCTACCCTGTTTCATTTATGTAAGGGAGAGGGTAACGACACCTACCTCATGGGGCTGTTGTGAGAATTAACTGAGTTAAAATATGCCAAGCAGTTAGAACAGTACTGGCACGTGGCATTCAACAAATAGGTCTTGTTACTCTATTACTGTTGTTTTTACTACATTCTATCTGACCATGTTTGTTGCCCTAAATTTGTTACTCATAAATAAAAAGGAAAACAAATTTCTCAAGATTCTATCTAAATCGCCAACATTAGTTTTTGCCCAAAGCTGTGACAGGATACTTGCAACCTCTGCCAACTCTCTGTAACCACCAACTACCCATTACTGTTCCCATCAGAGTCCTGAACAACCAATAATGCCCTTTTCTACTTCTTTTTCTACTTCTGCCTGAACCATCTCTCTTTGATGACTGATTCTTTCAAGCACATATAAATATCTACTACATGTCAAGCACTATTTCAGACATTAGAAATATAAAGATATATTAGTATCAGGACCTGTCTTTAAAAACTTGTTAGTCTAGAAGAAAAGTGAACGAAAGATTTCAACAGTTTAAAAAATTCCGGAATGGAAATATATCTACAGCACAGTATTGGCAAAAAGAAGGGCCTGACATCCTTGTGGAGGGGTGAGAGTGCTAGGCCAGGGAGCTATCAGGGGAAAAAAGGGAGGAAAGGCATTGCAGGTAGAAGGATGGCTTGCACAAAGGCAGACGTGCAAGGACTGCTTAGAGTGGTTTATATCCTGGAGGGCCAGTGAGGGCACTAGTGAGGCCCTACGAGGCGAGAGTAAGTGCTCTTGTAGACTGCGCTAACAGTTCTGGACTGTATTCTCTGTTCAACAGAGGGCTCTGAAGCGATTTAAACAGGTCAAGAGGGGTTCAGATCCACATTTGGGAAAGATCACTGTGGCAATGTGGAGAATAAAATAAGAGAAGTAGACACTAGGGAAAAAAAAACAGGTAGACCGAGTCAACAGGCTTCATGATTTTCCCAGTGCCTTCAAAATTAGAACATTCCTACAAAAACTTTGTGGGGAGTGGGCTTTATTACTCCCATATTTCATGTTGGAAACAGCTTCTCGGAGATCAGAAGGCTTGCCCAAGGTCACATAATGATGATAAAATAATAGCTAAGAGGCTCCTTGAATCCAGGTCTTCTCATTCCACTGAACCTCTCTCCTCAACCCCGTGAAATTAAAGGGCAAACTTTGGTTATATCACAGAGTTATAGTCAACCTGGTTTAGCTGGGGCAAATGAACTGGAGTTGACTAACCAAATACTTTCTGAATGAAACGGCATAGTACACACACCAGAGCTGTACAAAAGAAGTCGATTCAGTAAATTTTTATAAACTGCACTTTAGTCCTAAATTGGCTACTTCTAGATATTTTTTACCCTTCTTCAGTGATGTGCACAAACCCCCAAATAAGGTTCATGCCCATCAAACAATTAAGCAGGGCTTTAGTTGAAGCCATAAACTCTGAACATCATATAATCTACAACTCTGATCAAAGGTGAAAACTGCCTGGTTGTAAATATCAAATCTTAAAAGGCAGCAGATTATAATAACAAAACGCTGGTTTCCTCAGAATAGTTGGTAAATGGTATGTTCTGGCTAATTTACTATTCTGATTTTCTGTAAGGTTAATACATAGGCTATATATCACAAAAGAATTACCAATTTTCAAAGCATTATTATAATAAAATAATTTAAAATTAAAACCATATGGAATAGGATGATTCATGGTCTTCATTTGAACAGCTGATGATAACTAACAGTATGAAAAGGTTACCATGGGACAGGTACTCTTCTAAATGCTTTAAATCTATTAACTCACTGCATTATATTTTACTGCATCAAGTCGTTGATAAACAAGAACTGTCACTGTAAGTCATGAAAAACAAACCTGGTTACTTTAGGTTCTTTTGTGGGGGTGAGTGGTTTGGCTTCTGGAAAAATAAAAGTTATATTTCACACCATAATGCACTGACTGATTTTCTTCACAGCCTCCAGATAATGAGCAACTTAATCAGCAAACCACCTCCCTCTACCCCATTATTTCGCAGAACCATTACTCTTTCATACTTGTCAGCTCTGCCCTTACAAGCTGACATTTCATTAAGGGATGTAATTGAAAATCTAGCTTTCAGGTAAGTCTGAGGGTCTTCCTTCCCCTTCGATTTCTCTATTTTGACCCCTGCCCCAGAGCCACTATAAAACATCTTC